AGAATTCTATGGACATCTTCAGATGGAAATTGATTTAAAATATGCAATCAAGAAGCACTGATAGATATTGGTGATTGGAAAGCAAAAATTGGAAACAAAAAAGAATGAACAGTAGCTGGAAAATATGGACTTGGTGATAGAAATGAAGCTGGAGATTGCATGATTGAATTTTACAAAACCAACGACTTGTCACGACAAATATCCTTTTTCAAAAACTCAAAAGATGACTTCTTTAGAATCAAATTGATTACATCTGTGGAAAACCCAATGGAGAAGCTTAATATCAACAGCTAAAACCAGACGAGGGGTGGACTGTTGAACAGATTATCAATTGCTCATATATATATAGCTTTAGGATAAAGCTGAAAATTAAAAAACAAAACAAAACACAGGAACCAAGATATGACCTTTAGTCTATTCCACCTGAATTTTGAGAACATCTCAAGAACAGATTTGACACATTGAACACTAATGACAGAAGACCTGATGAGCTAGGGGGGCACTTCAAAACCATTATTTATGAAGAAAGCAAAAGGTCATTAAAAAGACAGGAATGAAAGAAAAGGTCAAAGTAGATGTCAGAATAAACTTTGAAACTTGTTCTTAATTATAGAGTAGCTAAAGCAAATAGAAACAAGGAAGTAAAGGATCTGAATAGAACATTTAAAGGGCAGTTAATGAAGACAAAGCCAAATATAAAGAAATGTGCAAGGACCTATAATTAGAAAACTAAAAGGCAAGAGCACTCTCAGCACATCTGAAACTGAAAGAACTCATGAAAAAATTGAAACCTTGTATTGCAATTTTGAAAGATTCTATAGACGAAAAATTGAATGATGCAGGAAGCATCAAGAAAAGATGGAAAGAACAGACAACCGAAGAGTGGGTGAAGGGAGACGTCGGACAGGGCAAGATATGACAAAATACCCATTTATAAACTATCAAGGGCTGATGAGGGAGGGGGCAGCGGGGAGGGAGGGGAAAAATGAGGACCTAATGTCGGGGGTTTGGGTGGAGAGAAAATGTTTTGAGAAACGATGTACAAATGCGCTTTACACAATTGATGTGTGTATGGATTGGGATAACAGTTGTATGAGCCCCTAATAAAATGTTAAAAAAAAAAAGAAAAAGAAACTGATCTAACCAGAAAAAAAAAAGAAAAAAGAAAAAGAAAAGATGGAAAGAATAAACAGTCACTGTATCAAAATTTCAGGAGGTAGCATGTGAGCCAGGACCAATGGTACTGAAGGAAGTTCAAACTGTACTGAATGCATTAGCCAAAAAAAAAAAAAAAAGCTCTAGGAATTGATGGAATACCCATTGAAATGTTTCAGAAAGTTGATGAAGCACTTGAAGCATTTACTTGGAAATTTGGAAGGCAGCTACTTTGCCATCTGACTGAAAGAGACCCATATTTGTGCCCATTCCAAAGAAAGGTGAGCCAGCAGAATGCTCAAACTATAGAAAATCATTGATCTTGCATGCAATTGAAATTTTGCTTAAAACCATCCAACAAAGGTTTCAGCAGTACATTGACAGGAAACTTCCAGAAGTTCAACTCAGATCCAGAAGAGGATGTAGAACAAGGGATATCATTGCTCATGTCAGACGGATCTTGACTCAAAGCAGAGAATACCAGAAAGATGTTTATTGGACCATACTAAACTGTAGATAATCTTGAGAAGAATGGGAATTCTGGAACCCTTCACTGTGCTCAATCGGGACTTGTACATGGATTAAGAGGCAGTTATGCAAACAAAAAAAATCAAAGACTGCATGGTTTAAAATCAGGAAAGGTATGTTATCAGGGTTGTAGGGTCTCATCATAATCAATTTGTATGCTGAACAAATCATCAGAGAAACTGGACTATATGAAGAATGTGGCATAAGGATTGGAGGAAGGCTTATTATCAAACTGCTGTATGCAGATGACACACCTTTGCTTGCTGAAAGTGAGAAGGACTTAAAGCACTTGCTAATGAAGATCAAGGATTGTAGCCTTCAGTATGGACAATTCAATATAAGAAAGACCAAAATCCTCACAATTGGACTAGTAGGTAACATCATGATAAATGGAGAAAGTTGAAGTCAAGGATTTTGTCTTACTTGGATCCACAATCAATGCTAACAGTCAAGACATCATTAGCTAACTCTACTACATAAGACTTCTTTAGAGTATTAAAGAGTACGGAGGATTAAGGTATTCTCCATTGCATCATATGTATGTGAAAGTTGGAAATTGGAAAGGAAGATAGAAGATTCAATGCACTTGAATTTTGGTTCTGGAGAATATGAAAAAATAAAAGTACCATGGACTGCTAGACAGACATACTGATCTCTCTTGGAGTATGGCCAGAGTGCTCTTTAGAGGAAAGGATGATAGAGGATAGATATGTGTGATAAGCCAAGTATAATGAAATGCTAATAGAACTTAGGTGGTAGATATATGGGTATCTACAGCACAATTATTTTGACTTTTCTAAATGTTTGAAAATTACAGGAAAACAATTGGAAAATAAATAACGGATATGAGTTAGCACCTCTGGTATCATCAGTGACTGGCCTGGATTAAACACCATTATATCTTAACCATAATATTGCAGACCTCTACACTGGTCTTTTTGTCAGTGTATCCCTCACCCCAAGGACCACTGGGGAGAAAATTCTGACACATAAGCTGCCCCCTTCATGATCTGCTTTGTGCCTGTCTTCAGCTTCAGTCCCCCAAGTCTTGCCTCCTTGCTGCAGCCTGTATTCTAGCCCTACTCAAGGGTTTGTACTTCTATCACATGTACCAGGCTACTTCATGACTCATTGCTTTGCTTAAAATGCTTCATTTCGAATAATTCTTCTGCCTCACTTTACCTGGTGAACTTTCATGAAGACTACATTCAGGTGTTACTTCCTCCCTGAAATCTTTCCTCTCCTTAGATTGAATTAGGCCACTTCTCTCCATGATCCCATGGTACCCTATACATAATCCTAAAGTATGCTGCACTTGGTTTTCCATGTCTTTGTACTAAATCACAAACTGCTTAAGGGTCAAATCCCTCAATGCCCTGCACAGTGCCTGACAAAAAAGCAGCTTTGGTAAACCTCTTGCACTTCCTAGAAATTTGGTTATATCACGTATGCAGGAGTTTAAGTACCTGCTCCCCTCAACCAATCTACTTATCTCACTGTGATTTGCACTACACCAAAATGTTGCTCTTCCCTCCAATCAATTAATTAGAGATCAAGGGCCATTTCAGTCAACCTGGTATAAATCAGGTCCTGATGGACAAGGAGGCCCATCCAGTTGAGGCAGGGGAAACATGAGCAAACAGAAATGGGGATCTGTACTAAGGATGTCAGGACTGGAAGATTCAGTGTGAGAATCAATAGCATCCAAACTTTACAGATAATCAACCTATCAGAGCGCTTCACAAATTACATAATTCCACCTGACAAATAGATTGCAACCCAGATAACCAATCTCACCCAAAGTATGCAGTTAGTCATTCAAAAGGTAGACACATAGAAGAAGTCCAGTATACTTCTCTATCACACATTGGAAAGAGGGAAGACTGAGGCTTAGTGTATTGTTCCCCTCCAAATTTTTAGACAGGAGCCTGTTTGTACCTCTTGCCTGGATTGAGGTGCCAGCTTATCCTCAAATCTGAGGTTCTGGTCTCTTACTGAGGAGTGCAGGGTGGAAGTTAGGGACAAAGAGAATCTAGCTCACCATTCCTAAATGAGCTCTGAATTCTCTCTTCTCTTTCTTGTTGCTGTATACCAGGAGATATAATTTCCCATGCCCCAGATTTTGTGAACCTTTTCTATCCAAAAAGACCTCACTGGGAGGAATTCTGTTCTAATACCAAAACTTAATTGTGAAAGCTAGAGGAAGTCATTTAGCGAGCCATTTAGTGACTCAGGCAGCCTCATCCTAGAACCACAGAACGTATGGGAGGAGAATTCTGTTGGGTTTAAATTCCTTTACAGTTGACCCTCAGCCAATAAGTCACCTATCCTGGGTCACTCAGAGAGATAGGTGGAGGTGACATAAAAACTTAGGCTCCCAACATCATCCTGGGGACTCTCCCTAGGACACAATTCTCATGTTGCACACAGCAAGTGTTCAGTAAACATCTGTTGAATTATTGAACCAAACACAATTTTCCAGTACAGTGAAGTTGAGAAAGAATGAGTTTAAGAGTCAGGCAGAAGCCAGCTGTCAAAGACCACTGGTAAGCTTCAGTCCCTTCATCTGCCAAATAAGGCTAGTAGCTATTTCACTGGGTTGTCAATCAGGATTAAATTAGATATCCTAAGTAAAACCCCTGGCTCAATGCCTGATATACAAAAGGCACTTAATAAATGGCAGTGTTTATTAGAGGTGGTAGAACAGAATGATAAGAATACAGCCTCTGGAACCTGGTTGGTCTTACTATGATCCTGAAAGGTTATTTTACCCATGTTTCCTAATCAGTAGGATGAGTATATTCATGAGGATGGAATGAGTTAATATTCAAAAAGTACTTAGAGAATTGCCTAGCACAATGAAGAGTGTTAGGTGCTACGTCTGATAATTATATTCTATACTGTATTGACCCTGCACAGTGATGGAGACCAGATTGTATTGGAGTTGCATGTCAGAGAGAGAGATTAAAAACAAAAGAAAAAAACTATATTCACAGAAAGAGAACACAAATAGAGACATTAAAAGTAACATGTAGAAGCTTTGGAAAGCTTTCCCAAGGAACCTGTTAAGCCTCTTTGAATTGTTTTCCTACTGTATTCTAAGTACATGTTTCAGGTGTGTGGACTATATTCCTCTTGAGGACTGGGATCCCGTCCCCTCCCCCCACCAGTCATAAAGTTGGGGACCAACTGACAAACCTGTTGACATTGACGGGAGGACGAGATAGAGAATGTTTAAAACCAAGAAGGTCCTCTTGTTCCTCGCCCATCACCATCCCCACCACCATCATACAAAAAAATGAAGACCACACAAAGCATGCCAAGATAAATCATTTTATCTCTATAGGAAAGGGAGGGTCTAAAAAAAATATATAAATTACATTAGTAACACAACATAAGAAAAAAGCAGGGTAAACAAAAAACGAAACAAAACAAAACAAAAAACCCGACCCAACAGAGAAACCTGGATGATGCTTATTCTAACCTGTTTATAAAAAGGTCCTGCATCAGAAATTCACAATTCTATCCACTTCTAAAAATATAGACATGTACAGAAGTGGTGGGCTTGTTTTAAAATTGTTTGCTTTTTTCTTTTTTGTAAAAATATATTAAAGATGAATAGAAATCCTCTCTAACTATCCCTTATCCAATCCCCAGCTCTCTGCTAGGGAGTGGGGACCAGAGGTAACTCTCTTATCATGTTCTAAATCTTGGTTACTATCATCTCAAACCCCTCCCCAACTCACTTCAAACACATAGAACATGAAATAGAAAAAAAAAAGCCTATTAATCTCTTTGGAAAAGCATTAACTCTGAGGGTAAACTTGCTTTTCATTGAAACAACACAAAACAACAAATAGGAAGCTCAGAGAACCCAACCAAACTATATAAGACCTACTCAAATGGAGGTTGGGCTTTAGCTCCTCAGAAAGTTTTAACAAAGAAACAAGGGGAAAGACGTCTGGAACCAGGGAGATTTTGCTAGCAATTAGCTGCCTTTGAAATATCAAAAGGGGTGTTAGTGAACACAGGGGCAGTCAGGGCCTCGTCAGGCAGATGCCTTCACAGGGACTCTCTTCTCTCTGTTGCCTTCAAATCACTTACATAAGTAAAACTGGGTGAACACAGAGGGGAAGAGAGTAGGGGACTTCATGTGCTGGGGGGAGGTAGCCAGGCGTTTTGCCTTTGGTGTGACTAGATGGAGGACTGTTTAGGCCCTCCAGTCCCCAAGATAAGAAAAGCAAATGAATTTAAGGGACCCCTGATCCCAAGGATAATAGTGGAGAAAAGAAAGACAAATTAGGAACACAAAGAACACAAGGAAAGCCTCGTATATTCCCTGTGGCCTTACATGATTAAATTCCCCAGAAGCACTGGGCAAGTTGGGAGTGAGGTTTGAGCAGATTAGAGGGCACAAATACACTCCATGTGGGCAAAGGCAAAATAGAAAGATGGGAACATTCTCCATCAAGTCAGATCTCCAGTGAAGCAAAATAGGTAAGAGGCAGGGAGCTGGAGGTGAGTGGGGGGTGGGGGTGGGGCAGGAACAATGGAGAAGATACATAGAGGGAATGATAGGGGAAAAGGGAGGATTGGATGATCTGCTCCTTCACATAAGGGTGTCTCCTCTCCTAGGCTTGGGATCTTGACTATTCCATCTGCACCTTGCTTGAGCATATGACCAGGAATGAAGAGGTCTTCAGACCAAGACCTCAGATGGGGAGAAAGTACAGAGGTTCTCAATGAGGGTATAGGGTACGCTGTCCTGCTACACTCCCTCTAGAAGGTCTAGGCTGTGTTGTGTGATATAGGTGAAGGTAGCAGGTCATACGGCCAGCGTTATCTACTTTAGTGACAGTACTTTCAGGAAGGTGGTTTTCCACCTGCTGGGGTCCAGCCACAGCCACGTGGATAATGTTCTGCGAAACCTCAAAGTCCAGGCAAATCCATGAGCTCACCTTGGAACAAAGGACTTTCACATATAGCCACCCAAACACAGCTTCCTCTAACAGACTACAAAGTTATGGGCATCTGTTCTCTCTCAACTTTGAGAAGTGACAGGATTTTTCTTTCTACTCCAAAATGAGTGAAGTCAGCCCATGGCCTTTCTATGACAACTCTGAAAATGGTCTGCCATGGGGCAGTAAGGAGAGTCTTCCTCATTCCCATGAAATATCTGACATGAGGGAGCAGAGGCCAGACACTTCTCCCAGGTATAAGTGAGGAGGGGGGGGCATGTTTACCAGATTGGGAGGAAGATGAGAAAAGAGTGGACAGAAGTGTGCAGGCTTCTGGAGACAGGGCTAGAGCTGTAAAGTGTCAAGCGCTGGGCCTCCCACTTCATGACCAGGGAAATATGGCAGGTCTCAGGCTCTCTTCATCCTGCCTTCCAGCTCTAGGTGGAACAAGAGTAAAAGGCAGACAAGGCAGGTAAAAGGAAAATGGGTTGGAGCAGCAGAAGAGGTTCTTGTCAGCCAGACACTACTTCCAATTACCTGCTACTCAGGAGTATTGAAAAGGCAGGATGCTTTTGTGGAAATGGGGAAGGGAATTGGGAGGCGTCCATAGAGGCGTTTGTAGGGGAGTCCATGCCTTTGGTCAGTCCCAGGAAAGCAGGACAATGCACCCCAGCACCTTGTCTGGGGCTGATAGGATCCAGGAATGCCCCGAGAGTCAACAATGGAGAAGGCAATGGGGTTGAAAGGGTGGGGGCGGGGGGTGGTGCACAGGGGGCTCACAAAAGGAGTTTGCCATTTCTGTGGATTTTCAGGATACGTCCGAGTCTCTGCTTTGCTGTGGCCAGGCCTTTTTTGGGACGCTTTCCTGTAGGGGAAGGGAGAAGTAAGCAAGGTCCCCCTGTCTCTTCCCCGCCAGCTTGGGCAAGTGCATTAGTAGCAATTCCAATACCAAATATATTCAGGTCACCTCCCCTTCTTCTTTCCTCTGCCTCATAAGTTGTCCCATCCTTAGGCCTGATTTGGGCAAGAAATCCTCCTTAATGACGCGTCTAACTTCACATGTCTTTATATTTCTTCCTGTAGCACCCATGACCTAACTGTGCCCATAATACAGATTATCTAGTTCCCTTTCCTCCATGTTTTAGCCTTAATCATTTTACCTTCCTAATTTGACAAAAATGTGATTATTGTGCTTCTGTGTCCTCTTATCCTGAGCACCAGGATCAGATATGTGCCTGGTTAATGACTATAGCTCAATGTCCCTGAAATTGTCATCCTCAAAGCTTTCATTAGAAATCCTCATCCCCATCATGCTAATGCCATACCAACCTCACCACCCACTCTAGGGGCTGGGCTCTCAGGGTCAAAGTGAGGAAAAGAAGGGACTTGACTTCCTCCTTCCCCTGTAGTATTTACTCCCATGTCCTACTTGAGTTCTTCAATATTTGATCCGTTTTTCCTACCTCTATGCCCTCTGCCAGTGTCCCATAGCATTTCTTCATTCCTTCCTGAAACTGTGTACTTGTATACTCCATAGAATTCCCATCTTTAGTCCACCCTCCACTCTGGCCTCCAGAAGGATCTTTCTAAATCCAAACTTTCTTTCTGCTAAAATCCAGTCAATGTGACTCCACGGCCTATTGGAATCAAGTCCTCTTTACACTAGTCTTCAGTATCCCTCCCTGGTGTTCTCACCTATCAAAGCACTTAAAAGTTTGGAATGAGTGGCCTCAAAGTTCTTCTCAGATCTAAAACCCTATGGTAATTGTACCTTGTCCTGATTGATTGCTCTGGGAGCCAACTGAAGGGCGCCGCTGGGTCAAGAAGACACCGGGGGCCATAGGTGTGGTGCTGCGGTTTGCCTGGGCCATGCCAAAGGCATTGGGACGAGCAGTATACTCGTGGTCAGCAAGGCTTCCTGAGAGGGCCTCTTGTTTAGGCTCAGGAGGAGGCAGTGGGTTGAAAAGCTGGGGGGTAGTGGCCAGAGTTGGGGCTGGTGTTGCCAGGTTGAGATTGGAGTCTTGAGGGCGAGGCTCTTCTATCTCCTTCAGCAAAGGTTTCTTCTTGACATATTTCTTCTTCTGGGTCTTCTGCAGTTCCTGAAACACAAGTCAAATGGAAGTTCATGAATGAAGAAAAGAAAATTGACCAGAAAGGGAATTGGACAATGGTCAATATGGTTCTGTAACCCATCCCTTTAGTCTAGCCTGAAAATATATACTACACACAGGTTTTCTAATACACAAGGCCATCTTCTTGATAAATGAGTTAGGAAATGTAGGTTTTAGTATCAGTATTGCCACTAATGAGGTAAACCATGGATATTTCTATTAATCATAGCTAAATTTATGCCAGTAGCTGAGGCATTTTATATACTATATATCATTTGATGATCATGGCAGCCCTGGGAAAGAAAACTCTTTATATTATAAATGAGAAAACTGAGGGGCAATGGTACTAAGTAAGAGGCCAAGGTTTCATATTTTGAAACAGTTAAGTTCAGTAATCAGCTCAGATCTTTTAAACACAGAATCTATATCAAGATAGAACATTTGAGAATGTGAAAGGATTAACTTTGGAATGAGATAAATCTAAGTTTACATCTTAGTTCCTCATCTATAAATGGGGAAAATAATAGCTGTTTTTTCTGGTTATTGGAAATATTAAGTAAAATAATAGTGTAAAACACATAGAACTAAGTAGGAACTCAACAAGTGATAAATTATTCTATTTTCATCATTTATAATGGCTTCACTTTCTTTTGCTGGTATTTTTCTTTAAGAGGACTTGACAATTTTCCAGGTTACCTGGTCATAAAACTTTACTTTTGGATGGGAGTTATGTCACTCCTCCCAATGTGTTAGTAGAGTTCTAAGACTCTACTATCCACTGCATAGTGGGTACCTGTATAGTGGGCATCTGAAGCTCTGAGAACCTGCAAAGGTGGTGCTTGAGTGCATGTGAACAATTTCACCTTCACAAATGCTACAAAGCCACACAGACCAATTCAGTGATTATATTTCTTTGCCTTCTCTTGGCAACACGTGCCTAAGCTTGCCATTTAAAAGATATGACAGGCTGTAGCTACCATAGGAATTTCTGAGGGATAAGAATAGTATTATCAACAATATATGCTAGAGAGTCTTCTATATTTATTCATTTAATAATCATAAAAACCTGAGAAGAATTATAACCCAAGTTTAAGAATGACAAAAATTGTGGCATAGAGAAGTTAATTTTTTTACTCAAGGTTATAGAACCAATAAATGGTCAAGTCAGGATTCAGACCTAAGTCATCTAGCTCCACAATCCTTGCTCTCAGCCCCACGGCCATTCCACCCATGCCAAGAACTGCATTTCTGTTCCCATTTCTCTAATTCTAATCTGGAATTTATCTCTTCAGATCAAGATCATGTAGTCTGCTTTTCTACCTCTGCCACCACCAATCTATCTCTCCTCCAGATACACTCACAGAAGACTAGTCACTTCTACGACAGGACCAGTTTTATCATGCCAATTCCCTTACTTCAAAACTGTCAGTAGGTTCCCACTGAAGCCCAGATTCCTAACATGTATGGCTTTCCACAGTCTAGCCAATCCATGCTGATAATGATGAAAAGTAATATAGCTATGGTATTTACTTTGTGTCAAGTGTTGTTACATATATTACCTCATTTAAAATTCATATAAAGTCAACGAGGAAACTGAGGCAAAGAGATGTTAAGTAACTTTAGGATTTGAAGCCAGGAAAATTAGCTCCAGAACCTGTGCTTTTAACCACTACTTATCTTATCCCATCTCTCAACATGAAGCTTCCAATCCAGAAATACCTGACCATCCTTTCACTAATTCACACTCACTCACTCACTCACTCACTCCAACATTGTTTAGCATAGTGGTAATATTAAATTAAGTGGGATATATCTCCACCCATAAGAAGCCCTGGTGGCATAGTGGTTGTGCATTAGGCTATTAACTGTAGCTATTAACTGTAGGTTAGCAGTTCAAAACCACCAGCTGCTCCACTGGAGAATGACAGGCTTTCTACTCCTGTAAATAGCCTTGGAAACTCACAGGGGCAGTTCTATTCTGTCCTAGAGGGTTATTCTGAGTTGGCACTGACTTGATGGCAATGAGTTTGGGTTTGCTGAAGGTGCTTAAAAGAGTTTAATAAGGGTCACAGTATAAGTACATTTATGATTTAAAGTACCATGAGTGAACGCTATAAAAGCATAAAAGATGACCATGGAAATAAATTAGTAATAGTTTTAAATGGGTATAAGATAAAATATCTGAGGGACACAATGTCAAATGGGCAGAAGATTGTGTAAAGATACGGAGGTATGAGATAATCTGATACACTGACATGAGTACCCTACTGCAGTACAGTTATAAAGTATATCCTGGAGGGACTGGCAGGTAAGAGAGGTTAGTAAAAACCAAATCAAGAGGGTCTTGTGTGCTATATAAAGAACTTTCTTTTTTCTGGGATGCCTCTTTGTTCCACACAAGCTCAACCTGTAACCGGCTGCACCCCCACCCCCACACCCAACTTCAAATCTTCTTCATTAAAGTCATCCTTGATGAACCCAAATAGAAGTACACACCTAGGCATTAACAGTATTTCTCACACCTTTAACTTAGGTTTATTTAAGCCCCTCTTATTAAATTACGTCTTACACAGAACTGGCATATATAAAACACAGAGAAATTTTGGTCAAAGAAGGGTCACCTGGCCAGCTTGGTTGCTTCTGCGCAACCAAGTCTCTGAGACATTTCTAAGCAATTCTGGAGCTCCACAGAACATTATATGAAAAATCATTCTATTATATTTTCTTTAAATAGGACTTAATTATGGTTTTATATAAGCATTTAAATATTTCATTATATTTAAATAGCAAGTAACATGAAATTTGAAGTTAAAGGATATGAGCTTCAATGGAAATCTCCATTTAATCTGGTTTAATCTGTATTATCTTGTACTTGTCACTTGAAGAGTCTAATTTTCTTCACATGTAAAATGATGAAAATATCACCTATTGAGCAGGATTAATGGGCATATTACATGATACATTGTAAATGGAAGCACCTAGCATACAGCAGACACTCAATAAGTGCGCTAGGGTGCAAGATGTGATGTGAAGAGCTAAGGAGATATTGAGAAAGAGGAAACGAGAAGATTCATCTCCAATTGCTCACAGGGTTGCTGAGCTTGCTTTGCAAACTGTATGCTAGGAGGTGAACTTGATTCTAGTCCTTTAGGACATAAAGCAATGGTTGAGATTTCTTGGGAAGCAGAGGATGAACACCCTGATAAAGAAAACAAGAAAAACTTCTCTTCAGTAGAAAAAAATGTTAGGTAGTAGGATAGAGGGTTCTTCCTCTCCATGCCTAGGGGCCCCTACAGGAGGTTGGAAGCCAATGCAGGCTAAGGGGCATGTGCCAATTCAGGCCCTTGAGACAGGTGAACCTAATTCAGCCAATGGGGTCAACCAGTACTGTCGACCACACCTTCCAGCGGAAGACCCCATAAGGCCGGAACCTGGAGACCACCCTCTCTTTTACCAGCTGCTCCTTGGCCTTCCATTCGGTGGTCTCTCAGGTCTCAGGTCGCCATGTGTAGGGGTGCAGTCCTGTGTTCAGTGACTGTAAAACCTGAAACTTCTTCTATCCTTTATAAAAAACCCACGTGGATCACAAACCAGGCTTTGCTGTGAATTTCTTTCTTGTGCGAAGCCAAGAACCGAGGTATTTCCCACTGGAATAATCTAACAAAATTACATTACTAATGGGTGGCTGAGGCATTGCATGTATTCAGCATAGTCACCTTCTCGAGGCTTCATTAGAGGGCAAATGCTCTCATCCAGGGACAGACCTGGTCTATCCCATCTGAGATGATTATACATACCCAAGAAGGCAAATATTATTAGAAGGGTCTTTCTCTGGTCCTATATTTTATTTCATCTAAATAATACCAACTGTGTAGTCTATGGAAGCAGTTTATTAAATTGGGGTGTGAAACATGTAGAAGTGGTCTGGCACACTCCCATGGGTAAAGATCAAAGGCCATCCACTTCACAAGAGGTTAACAATGGGATTCGATCAGCCCTAAAGTCTGGATTTTGAGGTCTAAGTCAAACTGGGATAAACAATAAAAGCCATTCTCGACCTTGTTAGCACCTACCTGCTGGGCAAGCTTTGCAGCTGCTGCAGCCAAGCCTGTTTCAATGGAGGCTACCCGGGTTCCCTCACGTACAGGGCGGTCCTGCTTTGGTAAGGTTGGGGTCACACGGGCTGCAGGTGAAACAGAATGAGAAGGTATCACACTCTTCCATGAGTCTAGTTGAAAAAATAATCATGTTCCACACCTCCTAGCTCCCCAAAAGGTGATCTGATTGGTCCTCATGCTTTTAGTTCTTTTACAAAGCCCTTGAATTAAGAATGGCCTTTCAGTAGGAAGCATATTTCAAGAAAACCAAAACCAGCCCCAGTTGGGGAGAGAAAGCTCTTCATTATAGGAGACTGCCACCTAATAAATATAAAAGGAATGGCATCTTTAAGAGTTTGTAAAATCTCCTGAGGCATTTCATGCTAGGGAAATAGATGTTCACATAATTTCCTTCCAGATACATAATTTGCTAGTTACAAGAAGAAAAACCCTACAATAGTGAAATCAGGGGATCATCATCTTGAACTCATTACTAAACTCCGTTAAATAATAATGGGAAAATTCAATTTCATATACCTCCTGATGAAATAGAAAATTCATGGCATCATTTGGGAAGTAGCTTTGTCAAAGACATCAAATGAAGCAATATTTTGATATTGCTTCCAGTTTTAAGAAAACACAAGGGCAAAAGAACCAGTGATACCATGATAAAATGATCTACAAAATACCTGACTCTTACAAAATGTCAGCAGGGTTACGCAAAATGAAGAGATTTCAGTAGAGCATCCAGATTAAGAACAGAAAACTTGGTTCCCCATTTTGGAGAAAGGAATCACTGAAAACCTTATGCATACCTTCAAAACATTGTCAGATATTGAAGGCTTAAAGAATAGAAGCAGAATATTGGTGGAGATAGTGCCATAGGATGGGACCCTCAGGTCTAAAGGTACTTGAATTGTGACTGGGGAGGACCTATTTCTCAAAGGGGAGTCGACCATGGTGACATGAGTCAGGTAAAGCCTGTGGAGTGAAGCCTTTGGGATCTTCATTTGCTGATGGGGCATGACGAAAGGGTAGGAGAAACAACTGTAAAACTGCTAATGATAGGAACTTGGAATGTGAGAAGTATGAATATAGCAAAATTGGAAGTCTTCAAAAATGAAATGTAACACAGAAAGATGGGTATCCTAGGCATTACTGAGCCGAAATGGACTGGTTCTGGCCATTATGAATCAGACAATCATATGATTTACTATGATGAAAATAACACAATCACAGGGAATGGTGTAACAGTCACTGTTAAAAAGGACACTGTAAAATCTATCATGAAGTACAATGCTATCTGTGATAGGATTATATCTACCTTCAAGAAAATCCATTCATTTTGCAACTATTATTCAAATTTATGCAACCACAAAAGCAAACGAGAAGAATTCTATGGATGACATCGTCAGTCGGAAATTGCTCAAACATGCAATCAAGATGCACTGATAATCATTGGTGATTGGAATGCAAAAGCTGGAAACAAAGAGGAAGGAAAAGTAGTTGGAAAATATGGACTTGGTGATAGAAATGAAACTGGAGATTATATGACAGAACTTTGTAAGACCAATGACTTGTTCATAGCAAGTATCTTTTTTCAACTACACGAAAGGTTGCCCCACATGGAATACAGGTATTAAATTGAATTGACTACATCTGTTGTAAGACACCATGGAGAAGCTCGATATCAACAAATAAACCAGACCAGAGGCTGACTGGAACAGACCATCAATTGCTCTTATGTAAGTTCAGGATAAAACTGAAGAAAATTAAAACAAATCCACTAGAGCCAAAATATTATCTTGAGTCTATACTACCTGAATTTTGAGAACATCTCAAGTACAGATTTGACACATTGAACACTAATGACAAAAGACCTGATGAGCTGTCTCAAGACCATCATCCGGGAAGAAAGCAAAAGGTCATTAAAAAGACAGGAAATGGAAGAAAAGATGAAGTCATCAAGTTGAATGGAAAAATTCAAAGGGCAGCTTGACAAGACAAAGCCATGTATTATAATTAAATGTGCAAAGACCTAAAGGGAAATTCGAAAGGAAAGAACACGCTAAGAACATCTGAACCCGAAAGAACTCAAGAAAAAAGTGAAGCCTCGACTGCAATTGTGGAAGATTCTATTGGCAAAATATTGAATGATGCAGGAAGCATCAAACTAGTCAATGCTCAACAATTTCAGAAGGTAGCATATGACCAAGAACCAATGGTCTTGAAGGAAGAAGTTCAAGCTGCACCGACAATGTCAGTCGAAAGCAAGGCTGCAAGAATTGATAGAATACTACCTGATGAAACACTGAAAGCACTCGCTCGTTTATGACAAAAAATTGAGATGACAGCTACTTGGCCAACTGACTAAAGAGATCCAAACAATCTCTTTCATTCCAAAGAAAGGGGACCCAACAGAAAGCTCAAATTACAAAACAATATCACTGATATTGCGCTTAAATAAAATTTTTGCTGAAGGTCATCTAACCATGATTGCAGCAGTACACTCACAGGGTTCAGGCCAGATTCAGAAGAGGTTGGGGAACAAGGGATATAATTGCTCACATCAGATGGATCTTAGCTCAAAGCAGAGAATACCAGAGAGATTACTTATGCTTTAATGACTATGCCAAGACACTCAACTGTTTGGATATGGATAACCTTGAGAAGAATGGGGATTCAAAAATACTTCATTCTGCTCATTTGGAACTTGGATCAAGAAGCAGCTGCAGGAGCAGAACAATGGAATACTGCCTGGTTTAAAATCAGTAAGGGTTTGTACCAGGGTTGTGTCCTTTCACCATACCTGTTCAATCTTTGTGCTGAGCAAATAATCAGAGAATACGGATTACATGAAGAAAAATGTGGCACAAAAATTGGAGGAAGGCTTATAAACAACCTTCATATGTAGATGGCACTGGTGAAATTGAGGAGGACTTGTAGCACTTGTTGATGAAGTTCAAGGATTGTAGCCTTCTGTATGGATTACAACTCAACATAAAGAAGATCAAAATCCTCATAACTGGACCAATAGGTAACATTATGATAAATGGAGGAAAGATTAAAGTTGTCAAGGATGTTGTCGTGCTTGGATCCACAATCAATATTCTTGGAAGCAGCAGTCAAGAGATCAAAAGAAGCCTTGCATTGGGCAAATCTGCTACACAAGACCTCTCCAGAGTATTGAAAAGTAAGGATGTTACTTTGAGGACTGAGGTGCACCTGACCCTAAGTCATTGTGTTTCCTATTGGCTCAAATGCATGTGAAAGTTGGACATTGAAAAGGGGGAACTGATTATAAGGATCTACATATACCCCCCACCCTGGGGGACTGACAACAGGTAAGTGGGTAAAGGGAGACATTGGACAGTCTAAGACATAACCAAATAATAATAATTTATAAATTATCAAGTGTTCATGAGGGAAGGGGAGCAGGGAGGGAGGGGAAAATGAGGAGCTGATACCAAGGGCTCAAGTAAAAAGCAAATGTTTTGAGAATGATGATGGCAACAAATGTACAAATATGCTTGACACAATGGATGGATATATGGATTGTGATAAGATTTGTACAAGCCCCAAACAAAATCAACTTTTTAAAAAAAGTTGGACATTGAATAAGGAAGACAAGAAGAATTGGTGTATTTGAATTATGATGCTAAAAAAGAATATTGCAAGTGCCATGGATTGCTAAAAGGCCAAACTGATCTGTCTTGGAAGAAGGATGGCCAGAGTACTCCTTAGAGGTAAGGCTGGCAAGACTTCATCTTGCATACTTTGGACATACTGTCAGAAGTGACCAGTCCTTGGAGAAGGACATCAGTCTTGGTAAAGTCGAAGGGCAGCGAAAAGGAGGAAGGCCCTCAATGAGGTGTATTGACACCATGGGTGCAACAGTGGGCTCAGGCATAGGAATAATTGCAAGAATAGAGCAGTGTTTTCATTCTGTTGTGCCAACTCGATGGCACCTAACAACAACAAAAAGCATGACAACAAATGCCATATGAACCCTATTTGGATTCTGATTTGAACAAGTTAATGGTAAAAATACCATTTTTCTTTTGTTAGACAATTGGAGAGAATTGATTATGGACATGTTATTAGATGACATTAAAGACTTAAAAGTAATTTTGTAATGTATGAAAGCAGGCTTTATATAAAGTCTATAATATTTAGAAATTACATACTGTCATACATAGAGTTTGCTTTAAACATTTCAGCAAAATGATTTTTTAAAGGGAGAGAGTGACAAAGGAAATAGGGCATAACCTTGATAATTGTGTCTCAGTAGCAGGTAGGCAGGGAGTTCACGGTACTAATCTCTATTTTTTTAAAGAATAAAGTAAACATCACAGAAAAACACAGGTAGAGGTGGTAATGATCTAGACTTTAAAATTTATTAGTATGTTAGATATTTTTACTACTAAAAGGATAATTTCTAGATAAGCCTGTAGGTACTAGAACTGGCTGAAGTCCTTCTTTTAAAGTGACATTTTGCTTTAAGTAAATAATGATCTGAAACAAAAGCTGTCAAAATTCTTATACACGTTTCCTACTAATAAGGAGGATCTATGCCCCATCCTTGAATCTGGGCAGGTTCTTTGTAACCACTGATAACAGAAGTGATAATGCATGATTTGTAAGCTTAGACCAGAAAAGGTGATTTTAGTTTCCATTTTGTTCACTAGAACACTCATGCTTAGATCCTTGAGCTGCCATGTACAAAGTTTGACTATCCTGAGGTCACTAGATAGTGAATAAGATTCATGGAAAAGCTACCTGTTGGAATTCTGGATGGCACTTCAAGTCTAACTCTTCTCAGTGTAGGCACCAGACATGGGAATAAATGAAACTTCAGATGACTACACCTCTAGCTAGAAAGTTAACCTTCACGCTCCAGTTTTCTTAGTTGAGGCAGGGATAAGATGGCCCCACGGCGTCCTTTACAGTTTCTCACCTACAGTGTATATGAGAAACTGATGGATACTTCAAGCTGAACAAAAAAGAAGAAAAACACCTGAATTCCTTGACTGGACCTGGATTTTGAGGAAAGAAAAAAGTATGAAAACACATTTTGAGGCACCAA